GAGAGAAATGAAACAACAGAATCTTGTCATCAGAGAGTGGGACGTGAAACACAGTTTAGAGATGGAGCAATTCCTAGGAAGCACTGGGGTCAGAATGTAGTGGGGGTGGGGAGGCCAGTTAGAGGAGGGTCATCACATGTCAGCCAGGCTAGTGAATGGGACATGGTGTAATACTGAGGTGTGTCACTGGTTGGACCCATCCATGTGGACCCTGAAGCCACCCAGAGTGACAGATGGGGAAGGCAGGGCAGGCAGGTATTGTCTCTGGCAGGGTTTAGGGACCTGAAAGTAAGTACCTGAGATCATGTAGCTTACAAGCTGTAAGGCAGGCCCAGGAATCAGATAAAATTTTTCTGGCTTCAAGTGCAGATACTTCCACTTACATTACTTTGTCTGAGAGCAGCTTTCTGCAGAATGAAAAATGAGCAGGGTAAATGTTAAGGATGGGGAAGAAGGCACAGGACAGAGCTTTGGCATCAGTGGAGGCATCCTGGACTGGCAGTGAGTGGAGGCTGTGGGCAGTGGGGGATGGATGGGTGGGGGGAAGATAGGGAAGGTGCCTCACCTGCTGTGGCCTGCTTCTCAGATTTCCAGGAGCCCTATCTGCAGTCTTGGTAAGTAGCTGATTAGTCAAATGTAAGTATTGTCCATTGTGTGCAGTAATAGACGTACATCCCCAGTTGCAAAACATAAAGTGCTTCTCCATGGTGTGGGAGTGTTTTGGACAGAGAGCAGTAAGAAACTGAAACTGTGAACAGAATCATTTGACCTTCCAATGTCAGCAGGGATCAGTGCCTACAAGTAGAAATGGGGAATTTTTGTGGTGTGCTATACCATTGGGTCTTTGTCCTTTTCTCTTGGCTACATATTTTGTTTTCCTGTGATGATGTATTAGTTTTCCAGAGCAGCCATCACGAGGTTTTGCAGACATGGGAAGCTTAAAAAACAGAAATTTATTTTCTCATAGTTCTGGAAGCTGGAGTCTAAAATCAAGGTGTTGGTAAGTGTGTCCTGCAGGCTCTCTCCTGGGCTCGCGGACCACCGTCTTCTCTTCCGTCTTCACATGGCCTTTCCTTTGTATGTGTCTTTGCCCCAGTTACTTTCTAATGAGGACACAGGTCTTATTGGATTAGAGCCCACCCTAATGGCTTTATTTTACTTAATTACCTCTTTAAAAGCCCTATCTCCAAGTAAAGTCATATTCTGAGGTACTGGGGGTTAAGACTTCAACATTATAAATGGGGTTGGGGGGGACATCAACCCATAGTAGGTGACAATTTTAAAAGAGTGAATATAAACAAGTTGATTACAGTGATTGCCTCCATGGTAGACAGGAAGCTTGGAAAGTCAGAAGATTTACTGTTCACTGTATGTTTTTTCATATTTTTTGTATTTTCTTATTGTGTCTATTTACCTGATCAAAAATAAAATTATTGCACAATATCCACTGAACTTCTTCGACTCAACAAACATTTCTTGAATAAAACTAGCAGAAATGCAATGTGACACCCACTGTGCTTTGGGGATTTGAATCTGCTTGGAGATCCTGGTTAGTACAAGAATGGTACCTGCCTAGCCTTCAGTGTGTAACTTTGAGTAAAGCGGACTCTCTCTGTAGATTGCAAACTCCTCTAGGCCTGGACAAGGACACCTTCACCGTTTTATCCCCAGGGCCTAGCTCAGAACTGGCACTCAAATATATGTTGTAAAAAAACATGCATGTATGTGTGTGTGTGTGTGTGTGTGTGTGTGGTATGGCTGGATGTATGAGTGCATCCAGTAAGAGGAGCACCTTGAGGGAATGTGTTCTTCCCATAGAAAGTGGCAAGGGAGGGAGTGCGGGGGGAGTGGGGATTTCATGTTTTGAGTACTTTACTAAACTAAATCATGATAAAGGGTTTAAGGAGAAATCACTTACCCTATTTGGTCGGCTTTATTTCTTGTCTTTTGGAAAAGAAGAGAAAGATTCAACTCTACTTAGGATTCTTTATAAGTAATCTAAACTGCTGTGACAGTGTTGCTGTTCTCTATTTTGGAAAGAGAGGTAGTGAGAGGCAATGGCATTCACCCTAAGCAGATTTCTTCCACAGGTCTGCCGGCCCCTATTCCCTTTTATGTCTCTCAGTTTAACTCTGTGCCTACCTCCTCCCCGAGCCTTTGCTTCTCAACTTTTGTTGAGAAGGGTAGTTCTGGGGTTTTCAGGAAAGAACTTAGCCCCTCTCTTTCCCCTCAGGGAGCACTAAACCACTTTTTGGCTCCCCTCTGAAAGTCAGCAAGAGGAACAAAAAACATGTTAGCATCCTCCCACACAAACTCAGGAGCTCCCCTGGGTCCTGAAGACATCCTAGTGCTGGGAAACCAGGTTGAGCTGTCATGGGAGACTTCAGATCATGCTGAGCATGTGTTGTAAACTGGAAGGAGTGACTTATGAAATGGGCCCCTCCAGCTCTCATGCAGGCCTGAGGTTGTCCTGGGAAGTGGACTCAGCAGGCTTGGGCTCAGGTAAGCTCAGACCTGGTTTTACCATGGTATTTGGTGCTCAATCTGTGGTGCTCTCTCCACGCAACAGCTCTGTGGTGTTCTCCCCATGCAACAGCTTCCTACTGTGTCTGGCGGCCTCCTCCAGGCCTCTATTTGGCTTCATCCAAACTGGGAGGTAACTAGATGCCTGTATCACTGAACACCCACAGAGGCAGCATTTTCTGCTAAAAGCTACAGAATGTTTATGTTCTTAAGAGTAAACTGTAGTGCATCACTTACATAGCTTTAGAATTGATGAAAGGACACAGGGATGACAGGTGAATGTCATCTGCCCTTAGCTGTACAAGACCAGGATTGAAGACAGACTTATGTACCACAGTCCTCATCACTGAAGAATTCACTTTGCTAGATTTAGCCCTCAAGATCTTTGCACATTTTCTCAAAAGGAGTAAATAAACAGCAAAAACAAGTTCTCCATGGGTAATTTTTAAATGACATTCGTAGCACAAAAATTTGGATCAAAAGAAGGGGAGTTCAGGACTAAAGGTTAAAAATGGAAACTGACATCCCTACAGCTAATATGGGGAAATTATAAAATGTATGATACCACCAGACTGTACAACCTGCTTGAGGGCAGCAACCCAGTTTTTTATTATTTCTATCATTTTCTGGTGTCTAGCATGAAGCGTGGTCCACAGAGTGAGGCTTCCACAAACTTTAATTCAACAAAAATTATTGGAATTGCATCTTCTGTTCAGAGCTGAGCAACCTGAGAACCGGAGTGGACTCTCTGGTTTGGGGAAATGCGAGGTATTGTGATTGATGGCAAGGGAGCTTCAGGCACTACAAAGTCAAGTTTAAAAGGAATCAGGAAACATGTCATAGCTTCCTTCCATATAATATTTATAATTGGGGGCAGAGCGGCCCACTGCGGAAAACTTATTGCATTGAAGAGCTGAATAGAATTAAGAAATTCAAATAGCAGGCCACTGAAAGATTTTTTTAAAAATGGCAAATACCAATGCTTATTTATTGTGGATCAACTGTACCTTACTTAATATTAGCCAGGTTCTGTGGATATTTGGTACAAGAAAATATCTCTCTTCTGATGGAATCCTGGAAAATTGATGGTTCATTTAAAAATAGTTCATTATTGTAGGGAAAGGGACTTGAGGCTTTATCCCACAGAAATCAGGTAAGGCTATTAAAAAGAATACAGGTATCTTAAAAAGTGATTCCAATGGATCACCTCTTGGAAAGAAGTTTTATCAGTACTGAAAACAGGGGGAAATGTTCCAGGATTATGCGTGTTACTGAAAGCAAGGCCTATAGTGATGAAATTATAAGAGGAAACTATAAGCAAGTATTGGATTGATTCCCATTGGAAATACTGTTCAAATGGTATAGAGGGTCACTTGGACTCAATTATAGGGTTTCAGTTTTGCAGCTATGTTTATTTCTCATGCCCTTGCCTGATTTATAATATTTTGGAATGACAGTCCTCTAAGAAATTTTCCTTCATCTCTGAAGCCTCTTATTTCTCTCCATCTTTATTTAAGCTGTACATACATTGCTGTAGAATAAGGAAGATGGTGTGTATTCTGTAAGAGAAAGAATTGGCCAGCCAATTTCGTGTCCAGAGCTATCAAGTCAGGTTCTTACAATCCACTTTTTTAAGTCTGGCTCTTTGTTTAGAGCAAGAAAAAAAAAATCAATAGGGTGATTGGAGGTAGGCATTTCCCTTCACTAAAGACTGAAGAGCTGTCTGTCTATTAGGATCCCGTTGAGAAATTTGTGAACAATTGAGAGAGTTTATCTGATGACTGACCAGTTGTGAAATTTAGCACTGATTATTTGATTCTCAGGGTGAGGGGATTAACTTGAGAACTGTGAGTTTCCACGTGAGGGGGAGGAGAGTGTATTCTCCTTACTCTGCTACCATATAAAAATCAACAACCCCAACTACATTGAAGTAAGAGGGAGAGTCCTCTGTGAAACAAAGTTAACATTCTCCTATTTCTTCCTTTTCCTTCCTTCTGATTTTGATATGCTTTTTTGGCCGTGTGTGTGTGTGTGTGTGTGTGTGTGTGTGTGTGTGTGTAGAGCCTAAAGGCCTGGGCTTTTGCTAAATGGATGCCTGTAATTTTTATCTGATAAACTGACTCTGATCCTGCTTCTAGTAACAGTGATGGGAAATCCGGGCAAAGAATGTGTTGTTTTCCCTAATAGGGCTCTCAAATCTCAGCGGATACACTGTCAGCTAATTACCCCCTGGGCTCAAGGCTTTCACTGGGGCCTTGTAAGATACACAAAACCAAAGGGAAGGCAGGACACCATTAGCACTCCGTAATTGAAGCAAACAGTAAATGTGTTTACTCTGCCTGGCCACTGACCACCTGCCTTCCCAGCCCACAGGCAGGTCTGTATATAGGCTCTCCTTGCCCACAGTCTCGTGGAGCGTGAGCTGTCCTTTGGGCCTCACCGCCTGTGCACCTGCACAAAGCCAGGGCCCTGCCAGCATGCATCTCCTGATCCTCCAGCTGCTGGTGCTGCTGCCTCTGGGGAAAGCTACGTGGCACCCGGAAGGCCGCTCCAGTCAGAGTGCCGCTCCTCTCGTGCCGCTGGAAAGGAATCGCAGAGGGCTCGCCACAGGCAACCAGGAGGAGGCTGAGAAGCCTGATCTGTTTGTTGCAGTGCCACACCTGATAGGTGGCCGGCCAGGGGAAGGCCAGAGACAGAGGCAGAAGATGCTGTCCAGGTTTGGCAGGCTCTGGAGGAGGCCTGAAGGAGACCTGCACCCGCCCCGGGACGTGGTCAGTGAGCACTTCCCACCCGGGACCCAGGCCCTCCCTCAGCCCAAGGATGGGACACAAATGGAGAAATCTCCTCTTCGGGAAGAAGCCAAGAAATTCTGGCACCACTTCATGTTCAAAATGAGTCCAGCTTCTCAGGGGGTCATCTTGCCTATCAAAAGCCATGAGGTGCATCAGGAGACCTGTAGGACGGTGCCCTTTGGCCAGGTATTTGTTCTGGGGGCAGAGGGGGTCAAGAAGGGTGTGGGCAGCTGGGACAGGTGGAGAGCAGGGCAAGAGGCTGCCAGAAGCCTGAGTCTCGCCTAACTCCTAGATTTGGTCTTCGGACTTCTGCCGCAGGATTTGGCAAAGGTGGTCACACTCCCTAAATTTCCTTCTAGCCTTCCTGTTGTTTTTTGGTGCTCTGGAAATGCTGCAAAAATGCTATGAAGGTACTGCCAATATTTGTAATCAGTTACATTAATGGAGCTTTGTTTTATGGGGTTTTATTTATTTTTATATCAGGGATAGTCTACCCAGAGAAATAGTAAGACTGTACTCTCATTAGGAAACTGGGAATTTAGAGCATTCATCAGAACTTCTCTCTGGCTCTGGCTCTACACTCTGTTAGGATGGGGGTGAGCAGTTTGACTCCAACTGCAGGTAAGGGGGGATACGCTGGCCTCCTCCCCAAACATTCCCACACATGCATGATGGTCTCAGACCCTGTATTTCAGACCTAACTACCTCACAGGTTCATAAAATAAGATTGTCAGGCTGAAGTTGCCTTATCATTTCTAATATTATGTAGCAAAAAGGAATTTAACTTATTTTCTTATAAGCTTTCATAAAATAATCTTGATTTCCACCCCTTAGAAACACCTATGTACTGATTCATTGTGTTGGCTAGTTTGTGGTTGTCCTGATGGATTCCACACCTTTTAAGAGCACGGGGCCTCCTACTATCACCTTCCTCCAGTCAGTCCTGGCAACCCCCATGCTACAATGTTAAATTACAATTAAGAAATTGTATCGGGTTCTTAAACATGAGGATACTGAACCAAAAGCAATGCAGGGTAAATTTTACAGTCCAGGATTGCTACCCAATTAAGCAGGCAATGTTATAAGGTAATTGACTGTGCAAGGCAGTTAAGTATCTGCCTGGGAAGGCAAGAAGATGCAGCAATGACACATCAACTATCAAATAATAATGACTGCTTTGTTGGCCATGGGCAATTAGAAAATTGCTTCTAAGACTTGTGCAGTCAAATTTCCTTTGAAACTCTTATTTTGAATTCTATTACTAATTGCATTAAAATTAAGGTGTTTAACTCATGTATTTCAAAAGGCACATAAAGCTAGGTGTGTGGGGTTATTGGAGAGGCAAAGGGGATGTAGTGCTTTATGATTTGCAGGCATGTGTTGCAGTTTTGCTCCATGCAAGTTCAAAGAGTTGAATGTACTATAGGTTCTGCAAAATAGGATAGAATTAAACTCATGATGTTCTGATCTGTTCTGCACAAAACTGAACGAACACGTATGGAGAATCTGTTATGCACAATGCACAGTGACATGTAGAAAGGTACGGCAGCTTACTTATCTAAGAAGCTAGCCATCAGGAGTTGTAGCATTCAACTGGTAGCATTCAGTTAGACAAAATTTCTTAAAGTTTGGTATTTAAAAAGTAGAGTAAACTGTTTTTATATTGGGGATATCTGAAAGTCTAATTTATTAATAACTCCATAAAAGAAATTTAGTTGAGGTGATTCTGTGCCCTTAAAGATACCATTACCTGGATATTGGGAAATATCTAAAATCAGTGATTTTTGAAATGTTAGTCTAAAGTATCATAAGACTGACAGTCTATGTACCTTCTGCATCATGTGTGTTAATCAAAATTACCCAAGATAATTCAATGAAGATGTGTTTGTCTTTTAGACCGTCACCCATGAAGACTGTGAGGAAGTAGTTGTACAGAACAACCTTTGCTTTGGCAAGTGTGGGTCTGTTCGTTTTCCTGGAGCTGTGCAGCAGCCCCATACCTTCTGCTCCCACTGCTCACCTGCCAAGTTCACTACGATGCGTTTGCAGCTGAACTGCACTGGCCTGGCCCCTGTGGCCAAGGTGGTGATGCTGGTGGAGGAATGTCAGTGCAAGGTGAAGACGGAGCATGAACATGGACACCTCCTACAGGCAGGCTCCCAGGCAGAATTTCATGCACAGGATCCCTTTATCCCAGTATTTGCAACTTAATCAGCTGTCCCCCTGTTATCTTTGTGAAGCAAAACCACAATAGCAAAGTTACTGACTCTTCTGTTGGGAAATGTTTAATGGGTAGATAACATTTTAAGGGAAAGATGGTTTGAATAGTAGTACAATAGAACAATTTAGAGGAAACAGTGTTCATCTAGTTATGAGTGCCCATTTGGTATATAATCTTGGCTCTGCCACTAACCGACCATAGGATGATAACAAGTTGCAGAAGTTTCTTCACCTCAAATTTTTCATCTGTAAATGAGGGACTTGAACTACATGGTCACTAGAGTACTTTCCACTAGGGATGTCCCATGATCTGTTGTCTCCAAGATTTGGGGGAAGTGCGCCATCTGAAGAAAGAAAAGAAACAAACTAGAGCATAAATGGGTTTTTTAATAGCTTGTTGTATATAGATAANATACATATTATTTGTAGAAGGGATTCTTCTTACTTGTAATTGCCTTTGCATCGCATGAAATGTTTCAGTTGACTTCTATTAGATGATTAAGTAGGTCCATAGACATAAGGAGTAACTTCCATTGTTTGCGATACTTCCCATATAAAGTTCTTAATATCAGGCCTTTGGCTCTGAAGAAGACACAGTGATGTTACTCTGAGTGGTTTACAGAGGGATGAGGAGCAATCATTGGTAACCAAGCAAGTACCTATATTACGGGGAAGGAAAAAGATATGACCAGCACCAGGTTTAGAGGTCGATCCAGAGATGCTGATGAAAGTAATTAAAGAATTCCAGTAGATGTCAAATTAAATAAACTTCAAATGAGTTAAAATGGACACAACTGACAGGTGAAATCCTTCATCTGTGTGTGTTTTGGATTAAGTAGGAAGAGTTCTGTGCATGTGTGACTGTTGTTTTGCTACTGCATAAAAATTTTGTGTGACAAACTTTGTTCTGCAAATGCCACAATTGCAAGTTCTGAGAATATTGTGAATATTTTAATGTATTAAATTTTAGGTAATGAAGCGTTCTGGGAAATGTTGTGGCAGTCAGTTGTCTTATAATTTGTCCTTATCTGTTTTTCCTGTCTCATAATTTAAAGGCCCTAAGGCACTATCTGGAGATTACCTAGGTAGGGCATTTTTGAACTGGCTTCAGAGGCTAATGACAATGGCTCAAGTGTTTCTTCTGACACTTCAAGCAGGTTTCTGTTAATGTCCTTCAATCACTGTCTTTAGTGATTACATTTCTCCATTTACTTGTATGTGTACATTTTTCAGACCTGGCTTTCCCTAGCCATATTTATTTTTCTATAATCATTCTTCAAAGTATTCATCTTAAAAATTATTTAGATCCCTTTATTTTCAGGGTGCATAAAAAAGTATTTCCCAGAATAATGGCTTCTTCTAAAGTCAATGTGTATTTTAATTCTATTTCTCTTTAACCACATCATCTAACCTGGTGTTCCAAGGAAGAGAATGCATTTATATTTAGTGTATATTCTATAACACCTCAATGTAATAGAATACGCCACACAGATACACATGTGGCATTTACATCAGAATATATTATACTCTTCGGTGGTCAAAGACAACCTAACTGGCCAAGATATTGTCATAAGGATAAAACTGTTCAGCTTTAATGATATCCCAGCTGGTCAATATATTTTGGTGCCAAAAGCTATTGAGCAGCTGTCTAGTTTGCAATTGCCTACCCCTGATTATGTAAACCTATCTCTGCCAATTGGACCATCCTTCTCTTCCTTACACCCTTGCAAATCCCTTTTATTTTTGCAAATGTATCAAGCCCAAACAATCACCAGTTTTATTTAAACTCTGGTTTACTCTTCCCTTACATGTGAATTCAAAATGAGAGAGCTCAGAAGGATATCAGAGCTCACATTCATAGAGTAATAGCATGAACCTCAAAAGTTGCCCATATTCAAATATTTTAAATTACAAAAAGACACTTTGCAATTGTTTGACATAATACATGAGAACATAAGAAATCAAGAGGAAATATACAAATATCTAGTATCTATTAATGCCAGGTACTGTGCTGGGTCTTTTACATATATTACAGAATTGATGTAATCTGTAAGTAGATAAATTATGTAATCCTCAAAAATATCTCATGAGGTGTGTAAATACCCTATTTTGCAGGTGGAGAAAATAAGCCTTAAAAGCTTAAGCAACTTGCTTAAGATAGTTTGGAGCATATTTTCTATTTGTATTAAAATATTTTTATGCTCATTCATTGTCCATCAATTTAGATTTAACTCCTGTAGGTCTCTTGACTATAGGCTTCAAAGCTAATTTCTTTTTACCTCTTGTTTAGCTCTTATATTTAAAGAACACTGATGTTATCTCTTGAAAGATAAATCATCCCTAGGAAGGTTCTCAGACAAGCATTGCCTTGACTTCAGAGGCGGTCACAGCAAACCCCCTCATCAATCTTGTTCTCATTTTCCTCCTGGATAAAATAAGGCTGATAATAATCACTTCAAAATTACTCTGATGATCAAGGGTAGATAACAGCACATCAGAGAGCTTCACATCCTGTACAACCACAAAGGGCTATTCACTCTTCTCCTTTCAGACTTCTAAAAAATTTGTTTTGAGAAATTGAAAAGATACAGAAAAGCACAAAAAATAACATAACACTCAAATTCTCACCACCAGAATAATTAATGGTTTATTATCTTGTGCTTTGTGTCTGTTTTTTAAAAGAAATAAGCCACTTCACATACAAGTGAACTCCCCTCTACCTACCATGCTGAGTTCCGTTCTCCACGCCCTTGACCCCTCAACATCTCCCCAAGATACCTGTTTGTACTTCCAATATCCTTTTATAATTTTACACATCCAGAAAAAACACAGTGTTATTTTCATGTATATGCTCTTTCATTCAGTAGGCATTTATTTGCCTACCAGCTATGTGCAAGATACAGTTCTTGGTGCTGTGAAAATAGGAAACGAGTCAAAACGAGGCCCCTGCTCCTGTAGAACTTATGTTCTAGTCGGGGGAGACAAGCAATTTGGTAATTGGTCAATTCATCTATCGGCCAGTAGGAAAGGAATTAGTCAATTCATCTACTGACCAGCAGGAAAGGAAAAATATCAGGTGCTATAAGTGGTATGCAAAGAATTAAAATAGGGAAGTGCATTAGAGATTAGTTACCTTAGATTGAGTAGTCTTTGACAGGATGATGTTAAAGCAATGAGCTCTTAATTACATGCATGATATTAATATGAACTTTTCTACAGCTAATTTTTTCCTCTACACAGGATTCTGGCTTGTTTTTACAACATGTTTTAGAGGTTGTTTTTTTTTTAAATGTGCATTTTATGTCTCTTCTAGAAATTTGGCATTAAATAGTCCCAAAGAGAGTAGTTAATTTAGCTGTGATAATTTATCTTTCCAATGTACATAATTTCTTTACCCTGTCAAGTTAATTCCTAATTAAGAATGTCATGTATTTTCTGAATTTTTACAGAGAATTTATTCCATACAAGACACTGTGCTGAGAACCCTAGGTTAACCAAAGACAAATAAGACACATTTCCTGCCACCCCGGTGCTTGCAATACAGTGGCAGAGATAACATATGCGAAGCATAAAGCAATAATGATAGCAATACTAATGAGCTACCAATTATTGAGCCCTTACTATATGTTCAGGTGCTTTCTATTCCTCATCTCCTAGAAATAGACATTTTATAATCTTTTTTTTTTTTACAAGGAGAGTGAGAGAGTTTCATTCACTCAGTCCACAAATATCTGTGATTGTGATGAACCTGGTCACTCTGCTGGGTGCAAAGAATATAAAGGAGTATATGATTATTTGCATATAATTCCTGACCTTGAAAAGTTTACAGTCTAGAAACAAGTAACTAAATGTATTTGCATTAGCTAGATTGTTGATCACCCCCTCTATGCCCCCAATCCCAAGCTTTCCCAGTGAAGCCTGCCTTAACCCCCAGACCAGATCAAGACCACCTGTTACATGGTTTTGAAGCACTGTATACCTTCACTTCATAGCACTCATTTCAGTTTATAATCATACCTTTGTTTGTGTCATTAGTCAAATCATAAGCTCCAGGAGAGCAAGGATCATATTGGGTTTCTTTCACCATTGTAATCAATGCTTAAGAGAGTGTCCAGCACATAGTAGGTACTCAATAAATAGTTTTTGTCTGCATAAAAGAAACAATATCAGTAGATAGTATATGTGGAAGGTATATCATGTGTCAGGCACCATGTCAAGCACTTTCTATACATAATTTTATTTAACTTTCATGAAACCTATGGTGTAGGGAGTGCCGTATTATTTTACAGATGAGAATGCTGAGGCTCATATAAATTAAATAACTTTCTTGAAGTACCACTACTGGGGTGCAGCAGGAGCTGAATTAATCTAAAGTCCCAGATCTTTCCTATTATACTGCATTGTCTCAAGATAGCAAAGATAAAAGAACTAAAAAGTGTATGTATTTCTATATACACATATATTCATACACATATATATACACACATATGCATACACATATATATATTTATAGACACCTGATTCATCCAGTAGCCTATTCCTTTTCTGATTCTCAAAGCTCATTATCCATACCTGTCTTAAGGCACTTATATCAATGAGATTATTTCAGTGCAAATACCAGGAAACATAACTCAGAATATCTTAAATTATAAAGGAATTTATCATTTCACTAACAGGAAGTCTGGAAGTCAACTAATTCTCTGGTTGGTCAAGTCAGAAGTTCTACCATTCCATCAAGGACTCAGGCTCCTGCCATCTATCTCTCTGTTCTGTCATTCGCGGTCTGTCCTCTACAAGTTGAAACTTCCCTCCATCACATGTGATGGCTGCAGTTCTAGACATCATCATGTTTCACCACTGAAGCACCAAATTCCAGAGTAGGAAAAAGGGATTCTTTCCCATTTGTATCCCTTTTAAAGAACTGAATAAAATCAGTTATATTGAAGATAATTAAACAAAATCTTTGCTCTGACAGCAAGGAATAAAGAGAAGATGCTGCTCAGGAGACAAACAACACTGTCTGCCACAGCCATTGCCACTTAACTTGTCATTATTTATCTACCTATCTTATCATTCTAGATTGTATACTTAACAGCAAGTCTTATGTTATACGTCTTTGTTACCCCTCTGTTTCTAGTATAATATTTTATGTTTTATATAATATTTATATTATTTTCTATAGTATTAAATA